GCCACGAAACGATTATTGCAGCAGTCGCTCAAATCCATGAAAAAATGAACGAATTCGGATTCACAAAAAATCTTGACAAATACCGGCTCTCCCGCATCGGCCATGCCAAATACAGCCGCGCAATTCCAAAGGGTAATTCATATATCGAACTAGACTCGCCCATCACAAACAACATTTCCAGCCCAAGCGACAAACCATCTTCAAGTTCTTCCAACCTTGGAAACAAACATTTGGGTTTCGCAAGTAGCAAAATACAGCAAGCGATCAAATGGCGCGATCTCGATATCATGTTCCGTAAAGGTCTCGATTGGACTCCAATTATTGGAGGAACAGTTAGTAAAGACCGCCGCGGGTGCGCATATCTATTTCGAGTGAAAATTTACTGCATTATGTGCCGGACAATGCAACAACGGGTGATCTGATGTGTCAAATTGATGATAGTGATACGATACTGATATTGAGATGGGATGTTAGTGGAAAGGGGGGGGTGGTAGGTATGTGGTTGTGGGAAGGGCAAGCGAGGTACCGCATGCGGGGAGGAGGGAACAGGAAATCTCGAGGTATGGAGCGAGGGAAAGGGTTAGAATTTGGTTGGATGCTCCGACATTGCAATTGTTGAGTTGGGAGGAGGGCTAGTTTTTGAGAAATTTGCTTTGGGGATTGGCTCGAGATATTCGATTCCTGGATGTCAGCAGGATATTGCTATATGTACTCTAATGATTGATGAAATAAGGCGTGGACACAAAGGAGGATGGGGAAAGTTTCAGTGCACCAATGAAAATAGGAAACGGTGTTTACATCAGTGTGAAAGTGATAAAGTCAAGAAATAAGAATATGCTATAAAATCCGACTCTACGTATAACACATTACTCGTCGTAATTTACCAGTAACACACCTACACTACTAAGACACTATACCTAAGTATCCTCGATATCCAAATCTCACCCACCCCACAGCCCAACATTCTCAAAACAAATTTACCCACCACCACCACCAACAACAACAACAGGCTACAAAAACAAAGATCAAGACCATCAAAAGATAAAAACATCCACAATCTCACACACACATATCCCAACATTTACTCACTAACTATACCAAGCAACTTGAATCTAGACAAGAGAACCTAAATAGATACCTGCAATTCGAATTGGAGTATTAGAGTATCGGATTAGTATTCCGTGTTCAGACGAGATATCGTTGGCTACCTGACATAACATAAAATAACATAACATAACATACAGTTTGTTGATATACTAACACTGCTTATGTGGAAAGATTAGGAATTTGTATATCCAGAGGAGAGAACGAGGAAAGAGAGTGAAATAAAAAAACATATCTCTTTCTTTCTCTCTTCTACACACGCAAACCCTCCAAAGAACCATGACCACCCCCTACACCCTCCACACTCTCAAAACCGCGCACCCCTTTCCCCTCATAACAATACAGAAGCAATCCTTCTCCACCCCACTCAGCATCGCCTACCAACTCTTCTACGCCCCTCGCCCACCGCGACGCCATCCATCAACGCACTCACATCTCGATCATGGATGCGTCACTCGCTCGATAAATACAGTCACTGGGTATACGCAACAGAGCCCAACGATTCGGACAAAATCTTGGGTGGAGGATATTGGAGTATTGTTCTTAAAGATGAGGATAGGAATGAGGATGAAGGTGAAGAGGCGATTGATACGTAGTGGATACCGGAAGGGGAGAAGAGAGAATATGCGAAGGGGAATTTTGAGATTTGGGCGGAGATTAAGGGGAGAGGGAGGGGTACGCATTATGGAGTGTATTTATCTTTCTATTTTTTTCTACGTTAGAGTGAGAAGGAATTGGACGTTGGGTGTGCCATCTTGCTATGTGATGAGATAGATGTGAGTGAAATAAAATGGAAAGCAAGCTAATACAAACCCAGCTGTCGAAGTAATCTTCACCTCTCCTTCTCATCGCCGTCTCGGAATCGGTAATTTGATCCTACCATGGGGTACTCAAAAAGTGGATGAACTCGGATTAGATTTTTATGTGGAAGGTTCGTAAACAGGTGTTCCCTTATATACCAAACATGGTTTAAAAGGATTCGAGATGTGGAAGTTAAGCCAAACAAATAAGAGCATTTGAAGAGCGAGGAATGGAAAAAGTTTGACGAGGAGCTGGTGGAAGTTTCTACTATTATGCGGAGGTCTTGCAGGAAGATTTGAGGATAGATTAGGAGAGATTGGTTGTGGTTGGTTGTGGTGAGTTGCAGACTGAAGGTTGCGAGAGAAATTTTGATTGATTTGGCGAGAGTAAACATCGAGTTGTTGTTAGCTAATGCACTTTACAGTTGCGATGAAAAGAATTCTAGGTACTGCGAAATCAATAACGGAGATTGGTACTAGCAAGTATTATTATCTCGTCGAACGATGAGGGTTGATTATAACAGCATTACCTTGTCGATCCCGTGATTTCTTCATAGCAAATTACTAGATACAAGAATCCTGTGAATTTTCTCACACGAATACCTAGGTAGCCTTTAACATGGTACAAAACAAGAGATGAGTTGTTTGTTTGGCAATGAATGCGGGTCGCAATTTATGAAAGCTAAATGACATGATGGGCTTCACAATGAGATCACAGCAGAGATTGTTTACCACGGCTGGGGAAAGTGTCAAAGTCATAAAAATCCATCAAATGAGACCAATATATACTCGCGGTTAATTGATATAATTACATTGCGGGGGAATGCTATCGGTAGGTATATATCAAACATTCCAACCCATTTTGTATACGCTCAACGCCACTAAACGCCGTTCTATAATGTATGCAAGCAATCCACTTGGGTACCATAAACTTTCAATACATCATTAATTTGGCGAATCTACTTCACCATGAACCTGAGCTCCTTGTGGCTCCTCTACTGGAGAAGTAACAATCCTCATTGCTTCAGACAAAATGCTGAACCCCTCTTCGATTTCTTGCTCGGTGATATTCAAGCTTGGTACAAATCTCAAAGTGTTGGTTCCAGCAGTGATAATCAATAAACCTCTCTCTCTAGCAGCTGTGACGATAGGTGTAGGGTCTTGGCTAAGTTGTAATCCCAAGTGTAATCCTTTGCCCCTGATTTCTTTGACCAGTTCTGGGTACTTGGATTGTAAGGCTTGGAAATGCTTCTTGAATATTTCTGACTTCTTGAGGACATCGTTTTGTAAAGATGCATCAGATAGTCGAGAGACAATGTAATGAGCTATCCTGGATCCTAGTGGATTTCCACCAAATGTAGTTCCGTGATCACCAACCTTGATCTTCTCCGTTACATTCTTATTGACAATTGTTGCTCCAATGGGGAAACCATTTCCGAGTGCCTTGGCGGTAGTAATGATGTCTGGATGAGCTGATTTTGGTAATGGAGCATGGGCCCAGAAGGTTCCAGTTCGTGAAAGTCCACATTGAATTTCATCATAAATGAGGACTGCACCAACCTCACGACAACGAGCTGCGAGTGCGGTAAGGAATTCATCGGTAGCCACAATTACACCACCCTCTCCTTGAATTGGCTCTACTATAACACCACAGGTCTTCTCCGTAACCAAATCCTTGATAGCATCCACATCATTGTATGTTCCATATTTGAATCCAGGTAACATTGGAGAAAATGGTTTTTGATATTTAGGGTTTGGGGTGGCAGATAATGACCCCATGGTTCGACCATGGAAAGAGTTTTGGAATGAAACGACTTCATGCTTGTCTCCTGATGGATCAACGACCTTTCCGGCCTTTCTAGCGAACTTTATGGCAGCTTCATTAGCTTCACTGCCCGAGTTGCAGATGAAGACAGCTTGCGCATCGTGCATTGAATTCGATTCAAGAGTCTTCTCAATGAGAAGTTTAGAGAGAGCCCCGGTCCATGGATTGTGATACAAGTTGGAAGTATGCATAAGAGTTGTTCCCTGATGTAGTGTATGGGGTCAGATGAGTCACTTGAGGGAGAGTGAGGGGCAGAATTTACCTGTTCTAACATTATCTTTGCGATTTCTGGATCGCAATGCCCTAGAGCATTGACTGCTATACCCGCTGTGAAATCCAGATATTTCCTGTTTTCCACATCCCAAAGATGACATCCTGCCCCCTTCACAAACATTGGTGGTGGTCGGACATAGGTGGCAACCATATATGGAGCTTGTTCTCCGATGAGATGTGCTGTTTGCGAATTTGGTGAAGGATCTGGATGCGATATATTGGCGTCACTCTAGATTTCGTGTTAGTAAAGCATGAAATGACTGGCACATCATGGCATGCATCAATAATGTGCTTAGATTCATCCCTTACATTTGTAGCATAGGCCATTGCTTGTGAGGCATTTCTTTTCATGTAGCCATTGACAACCGGTGATACATTTCCAGCTTTCAAAGCAGCTGTCACTCTTTTCGCAGATAATCGAAGAGCCATTGTGAATTATATACAGAGGGGGAAAAGGAGGACGAAGTGTTGAAAATTATATGTGACTCCCAGCAACAATGATGAGTCGTACTGAAAATATATATACATATCAAAGGAAAAAAGATATCGGGGAGAGTCAACAATCTAAGCGTTATCGGAGCTAATCATGCAATGCAAGGATAAAAAGTTTACTACGGAGCAAGTCCCCATGGAAATAGAATTTTTACCTAAATTTATTGTCAATTAATACAGAATTTCTGCAGCTCCGGTATTTTAAGGGCGTGAGTTCTGTCATTATATACATTTTATATATCATTGCTTTTTGCTATTTTACAAATTTCTACCATCTTTCTTGACCCTGAGATATTTTCTGCCACCGCCTTCCAAGGTTATCGTTGCTCTATCTACAATGGGACTAGTGCATCTAGCCCCACCATCCAACATTAGCTGAGGACCTCAAGGGCGTGAAGCTTGGAGCTTGGAGCTTGAAGATGCAGGGAACTCAAGCAGCAAAACCACTTTCATCCCTCTCCCCTCTGCATTGATACATCCCATCAATAATTGACACTGATCAAGTATCATTCCACCATACGGAGAAGAAGTAAGAGGTTTGCATTACTGATATCATCTTGAGAACGTCGATTATGTCTTTTTGAAGAGCAACTTGAGGAAGAGGAGGTTCGAGACAAGTAGGGGCTTGCTTGTTGTGCCTCTGGGCAAGAACGTCGATTTATAATCTCCTTATACGTCTTGGCCAAGTCCTCCATCTTATCCTTATAGAAGTCGAGATTATGGGCTCTCGATTGTGGCTGTAAGGTAACTTCCACTAATTCTTCATCGCTGTCCTCGAAATCCGAATCATTGGCGGAGAGGTTTTCGTCTGATGAAGCTGGTGAGAACAAGCCCGTATTTGAGGGCAACTTGTTTGCTTCTTCGAGATCTTCGAGCGGTTTAGGTTTTGACTTTGAGCTACGTCTCTTGGATGATGCTGAGGATGACGCAGATGGGCGGTTCTTCCTCATAATTTGGTAGGTAATGTTTGAGTTGCGGGTTTTGAGCACTCGTGGAGAATCCATCGTAGTATAATGACTCTCAAGTGATGAGTCTAAAATGCAACTATTGGCAAATGCGAATGAAGTGAGAATTTCGTGATACCATCTTATTATTTCTTTATACACATTTTTACCGCCGCATGACAAACAGCGTTTGCCAACATATGGACTGGACCCGTCGCGACCATAGCGCTGAACAAAGATTTCAGGTTTGCACCTTCTATAGCCGCAGTGTCACCTCGTATGATTTGAGCCTTTTTCGTTACTGGCTAGTAGTCGAATGAAATTCAGAAGCCTTCTATAAGGTCCAGGCTTCTTGCGTGCCAGAACAAAGCTTCTAGCGTTAACCGCTTTTTGTGTATGTTTCAACAATCCCGCGCGTCAATGGCGGTCTCATTGGCTTCTCTCTTGTCAGTAGCCGCGAGTACCCAATTTTCAGCGCGGCTTTGTAGGGCGTTTCGGTATTCGACCCCAGATTGCTAGACCAGTCAATCTTAAATGTTGTGACACATCTTTATGTCTTACTTGGCCCGTTTAAAAGTATGGTTAATCGCTCAAATTGCTGAAAACCCTTATTCAGACGCTTCCTTCGGCTTCATCATCGCGCATACCAATATGAGGATACGCCAATCACTCGATGTTTAAAGCTTGCAGAGATGGAAGCGAATTGTTGAACAATTGGCATTTCTTGTGCCTGATCTATCGACGGTCTCAGGAGCTCGAAGCGGCAACCTATCTGACAATTGAGATCTTGACCAAATGTAACTGTGGGCTAAATAAAAGAGCGGCCTGCAGGTTGTGTCAGATCGATCAACACAAAAGTGTCATTCATCAGCGTAAAACTAATTGTTCGCATAATTCATCAATAACCGCATCGAGAATTATACTGTTTGGTAACACGAGGGGAATCCGTCTCACTCCATACATCCTCTAACACAAGGCTTACCCCGCATTAACAATCTCACGTCCAATAATGCATGGTCAGCCAATTGAAAGTTGATTCCAAATCTTTGTACCGAACCAAATGCCGCACAAGGTCCATTGTGGCAGCACTTACAGTCACACTCTATTTTACCCGGTGTAGTCATCACTTGCACGTCAAGTGCTAATTCCACGCCTAAAAGAAGAACAAATGCCACAATTTACCCATCATATAACTACTATGTTTTGTACTTTTCTCCGATCATTCAACAACAATGCCTGTCTCATCCAACTTCCCACTATCTTCCCCACGTGAAAAGCAGTCTCCGATCGCGGCGAAGGAATTAGACACCGCCGCATTTGAAGTATCTACTTGCCAAATAAATCCATCAATTGAGAAATCTCTGCTTAAGAAGCTTGATTTGCATGTTGTTCTACCACTCATGATCTTGTTTGTTCTCGCTTTTCTCGACAGGGTCAATATTGGTAACGCAAAGATACAAGGGATGACCGAGGAGTTAAAGATGGTGGGAAATGATTTTAATGTTGCTCTCATGGTTTTCTTCCCGTCGTAAGCTCCCACCTTGACTTTTAAGGACCTACCCCTGAAATTGCAAAGTCAAATTGAACTCAGAATTCCCAAAGAAAGATATTCAGGAATGATTCAGAAATCAAGAATATCACATTATGTAGCCACGTAAATGATCGTTGCTAACTAAGTTTAAAGCTATATCTTGTTTGAATTTCCCTCCAATCTAATCCTTCGCCGCCTCCCACCATCACTCTGGTTGACTATTATAATGACACTTTGGGGAATCATAACAGTCTGTCAAGGTCTAGTGCGTAGCCAGAGTGCATTGGTTGGTCTGCGGTTCCTCCTCGGACTCTTTGAGGCTGGTTTCTCTCCCGGCGCTGTCTACCTGATTTCCATGTACTACAAACGTTATGAATTGCAGTGGCGCCTTAGTCTTTTCTTTGCGGCCTCGATTCTTTCTGGGGCCTTTGGAGGTCTCTTTGCTTATGCTCTAGCTCACATGAACGGCATTGGTGGTTATAGTGGGTGGCGCTGGATTTTCATAATCGAAGGGCTTCTCACCATTGTTGTTGCTCTCTCCTTCAAATTCCTGGGTATTCTAGTCGATTGGCCCGAAACTGCATCTTTCCTCACATCATCGGAACGGGAAATGTTAATCCAACGATTAAAAGATGACATGGGAGAAGATACCCAGCTTAACACGTTGAATAAAGAATCTTTGAAGAGGATATTGAGTGATTGGAAAATCTACGTAGGAATCTTTATGTATATGGGAGTTGTAAATACTGGTTATGCTACTAGTTTTTTCATTCCGACAATCATTCAGGAAATGGGATATACAGCGATTGGTAGTCAGGTCAGAACTATCCCTATATATTGCGTGGCTACAACGACGGCATTTTGGCCCTCAACCCTCTCGACCTTGATTCTTCTGCATGTAAAGTTTACTAAACCCGTGTACAGTGTCTTGTAATAGCATACTTGACCGATCGTCTTCAGCATCGCTTCGCCTTCACGATCGCTGGAGTCGCGGTTGGTATCATTGGCTACGTGATCCTTCTTTGCCAGTCGCACGTCTCGACCGGTGTGAAATACATGGCTTGTTTCTTCATAACTACGGGCGGATATATGACGCAGCCAGTCACTTGGGCATGGTTGGCTAACGTATGCTGTTTTGACTTTCTAATTTTCCTCCCTATCAACGTTACTCCTCAATCATTCCATTCTCATCACCTCACATCTAACCAAACGCTTACTAATCCTCAAAACAGAATATGGCAGGCCACTACAAACGCTCCATTTCCACCGCCCTTCAAATAGGCGTGGGTAATATCGGCGGCATTGTCGCGTCCAACATCTTCATCACAAATCAAGCGCCGAAATATCCTGTGGGATATGGAGTCTCTCTGGGATTGTTGGTCATGTGTGGAATCATGTGTACGGTTTTCTTCTTCGGATTGAAGAGAGAAAATGGGATTAGAGATAGGGGAGGGAGAGATTATAGGTTTGGGGAAGATGAGGAGAGGCGGAGGTGGAATAGAGAAGTGGGAAGGAAGAAGAGGGGAATTGGGGGGATGATTGGCCGGGGTTTAGGTTTGTTTTATAGGCTGGGTTGGAAGGGTGGTAGGTGTGGGATAAGCCAATTTTCTGTTCTTTCATAGTTTGGGTGTAAGTATTTGGAATTTGTGTGCACAAGCATTGAACTACAAGTCCTCCAGAAGTCCGGTCTGATACTTCGATAGATCGTATTGAAAGCGTCTACTAAATATTCTTTGTAACTCAGTACCTCACTATCTCGTTACATGATGCTTCTCTTTCGTCTTCTTCTTCTTCCATCTTACCTCTTTTCATGTCGAAACGCAGTGAAGTGTCAAAGCCACCAATAGTCTTATATAGTATTGTTTCTGTATGCATCCTTCCACTTTATCGCATTCCGAGGAACGTCTTTTTCGGATGCAACTTCTGTTTTGGGTGGAGAAATGAAAAGAGGATGGAATAGACGTTTTAAGTTAGTCGTAGGATGGAGGTGGAGATTTGTTGTTGATACTTGGAGTCGTTGAGTTGGTGCTGTATGGAGAAGATAAGATTGTTGGGGAGTGAATTTTTGAATCGTGGGGATGAGAAAGGGGAGAGAGGGGAGAGAGGGGAGAGAGGGGAGAGAGGGGAGAGTTTATTTGTTGTTGGAGTTGCTTTTCTGATTTGTAATTTTTGGAGTCAAAAGGCTTTTTGGGTAGCTCAAAGTCGCATGCATGAACTAGGACCCGTGTTGTCTGTGGAAAGAAGTGAGAGACATTTGTTTTAATATAAGAATCATGGATTTGGGGAGTTAAGAAACTGGAGGTTGGATCTAAGAGAGTCGCGAGGATAGTTGAAGATGTTGAAAGAGAGAATGAGTGTAAGAATTAGGAAGAGTAGTGATGAAGATTCTCTCTGAAGGAGAGAAATCTCAAAGGTTAGGGACAGGGTGAGTTTGTTGATGAGTGATTAGGATGTGAGGCTCTGTTTGTGTGGAATTTCTTCACTCTTTCTTCTTGGTGAAGGTGTTCAGTCCACATCCATTGCAAGCTTGTAAATAGATATATCAAAATGGACAAAAATTCTTCTTGTTCATCATAACAGCAGCATCCTTTCATCTTCCATAACACCACAATGATGCAACAAAAGCTTGTGTTGAAAACTCCAAGATTCCACAGTGAATAGTGAATAGTGAACATGACACAATGAAACTACAGTCCAATTCATATGTGGAATTCTTCAGCTAATTCTTTCCTGACAAAACCTTGGAATTGCCACAAGCCGTATTATTCACTCATTGTTTGGCCCTAACACCTTTGAAATTACCTAGGTACATGAAGTAACAAGATAGTATTCTAACTCGGCTGTGCTGGAACCGAATTTGCACAACTGCAGTTATTCCAAATCTATTTAAAATTCAAGAAGAAGCATCATCTTTTAGATTTTACATCCATCAACAACAAATTCTCTTCAAGGTCAGAATCAGAAATCCTTTCAGAATAGTTTACTCTGTATCCGCATTCTTCGCGGTCATTATTCTAAGAGGGAAAGACTGTGGTTTTTATTGATAAATTTCAATAAAGGGGAGATTTCGAGTAAGTTTTTCCTTTTCCCTCATGTGAAATTCTGCAGAAATTCCAACCCCAGATCTTCAAACTAATGCTATCAAATGATATCGGAGCACTTGGATTTCCAATCAATACTTATCAATCCGGCCTTGAAAGATACTTTGAAGATCAATAAAGCTAACACAGAATATAGGCGCCCATTCTTTGCACCACCCAAGCCTCACTCGTCAATCATTTGTTGAAGTGAACTTCACACAACAAAACTTGATCCAATTTTCCGGATGTCATGGCAGAAAACCCCAAAAACCAAGGCGAAAAGCCACGGACTCCACCTAATCTTGCGACAGTACCATTTGGACCAGTACCGAAAACAGAATTGACGCCAATTGGTCAAATACCTCCGTGGAAGTCTTCAGATCAGCAACTTCAACGTCGAACTGTTATGGAGCCAAATTCTATGGAAGATATGCGACTTCATTCCAGCCGTCCAAATATCCCACTTCAACGTCGAACTGTTATGGAGCCAAATTCTATGGAAGATATGCGACATCGTTCCAGGCGTTCAAGGAGTCCAAGCCCACCTCGACGACTTGACAAAAAATCAAGATTTATTGAAGAGATGCAACCGCAATCCAGCCTTCTAAATAGCCCACGTCGACGTCGAGATGACATTGAAATGGAGCTAAAGTTTATGGAAGATATGACACCTCAAGCCAAACGTTCAAGAATTTCACTTCTATTTCCGAATTTAACGGAGTCAAGGTCTACTGATGAAGTGCAGCTTACGCCAAAATCTATTGAAGAGATGCAACCTCAAACCAGGCGCTCAAATAGCTCACCTCGGCCTCCTATTGTGATGAAATCAAAGTCTGCTAATAAAATTCCAACTTTGGGCGAGATACCACAGGTTTCACTCAAGTCGTTGAAGGCCATTCCAACAACCTCTTCCAACAACGATTCCACAAAGCGAAAACGTGGAAGACAAACATTTCATAAATTTTCAGATCTTCCGTTAGAACTTCAAATTATGATTTGGCAATGGTATGGAAGAATCCACGCAAACAATAAGCCGAACGTCATCAAGATTTTCCGCTGTTATAGACCTGTGCTACAAAATCTCACGGTGAGAGAGGATCCATCACAGCGGATCTCATACTTTGCCATGAGTTACAAGCTTCCTCCCATCTTTTATGTCTGCAAACTTACTTTCAAAATTGCAAAAGACTTGTATGAGAAAGAGTTCCAAGTAATTCCAATGATCAAGGATGATAAACAATTGACATACTTCAATGAAGATAGGGATATCATCGCTTTGGAAGATGCTCATGTATTGAGGGATTGGAGATACAACCGCCAGACTGAAGCCGAATTCACCGGAAGGACGCATATGAGCTCAGATCGGCCTGCTGACGAGACAATCACAAGAAGAATCAACATGAAACATCTCGTTATTGGTGGAACAGACCGATCACAGATCGAGGCGAGGCATCTGGCAAGGTTTTATGACTGCGAGTCCATAATGTTGGCGGTACCTTATTTGCTTCGCAGCAGATTCTTCTCCACGGAGGACAGAAACAAGCCCGACCGTGAAACTATCTCATTCTTTCGTGATCGACTCTTACGCTTCTGCAAGGAGGAAAGACAAGGTCCTTTTGTTAGGGAAGACTATCGCAGAAAGCCCATCCGTCCAGTGGTAGTTGAGCCAAGTTGGGATACGACTGGTCGGTCAATATCCAACCCAATGTTCTGTGTCTGTACCGATGACGAGATATTATATCAGCTGGTATGTATTATACGTTAGAATATCCTCAGTTTCTTATCAGATCTGAATTACTGACACATGTGTAGCACCGTTTACACCCTGCAATCACGAATTTCATGAAACCACTCCCCGGAGCTGCAAGTTCTATCACTTTCATGAGCGAATTGAAGTTCTCACACAAGCATGCTAGGCTGTTCGAGTACCCGTGGGAGTTCATTGCAAAAAAATAGTTGGGGAATTCTTGAAGGTTCGTTAACCTAGGCGATGATGTGGAAGAGCAAGAGTGCTTGCAGACTTACCATCGGTCTGCTTCATTTACTGCCAATTCACGTCCAAGATTGCGCCAAACTTAAATTAACCACGAGGAAAACAAACCGATTTGGAGTTTAATGAACATGGTTCTGTTGCCTTGGGGTATTAACATAATTGGAGAGACTAATGGCCTTTCGACAAGTTTTATTCATTGGTGGGAATAGTGGAGTTTTCTTTCTTCCAGCAGATTGGAAGACTGGAAGACTGGAAGATTGGATGGAATACACCCTGTTTTCAATTCGACATCTAGCAATCTGTCTGTTATCTGTGGCGCAGAGACCTTTGTGAATCCATAGCAGAATTACCTTGAAATTAGTTTTTTGGAATTGCCCACGTGAGAATGTGATTATGACTTGAGCTCACCACACTCTCTAATCATCACTAGTAGTAATGCTCTACCTACCTACCGAGGTAGTTACAAATGTTCTTTCCTGATAATCTGAACTAAAGAAAGACTCAATAGACTCCATGGAGCTTAATAGATATTCCATGCATTCACTTGAGCAATTAGGCAAGACTTTGCATGAAGACTCGATAGTTCTATGCCACCCACTAATAATAAATGCAGAAGGACTAGCTATTATATATACCAAGGAAGCCGTTCTCTTTCATCTAGGACTTTCACTAAAAAACTACCTATCTTTTGATGACTCTGGTAGATGCGCAGCTTTACGTTGGTAGGTAGCTATTGTAAAACTGCCTATCTGTATAGTGTGTTGGGTGAAGCATTATTCATACTTGAGCCAGCACATTCACTTCTTTGTTACGGCCGGAGAAATGCTACAGCTACCTAGTCATAGTATGGTTAGGAACATTCATTTTTATTAGAAGATAAGACATTGTTAGAATTTGGGGTATTCAACTATTTGCCCTTCGACTGTCTCGGCTATATATGTAATAAACTTTGTTCTCATATCAACAACTTACATACAACAATTTCAATCTTCTTGCTTCTCGACTCGGATTTTTCACACTTTTTTGAAATTCTCAACCAATGCGCATTTATTGATCGACTTCTCATACACTGTCCACAACTTCACTTCTTTGACCTGATAAGAGCCATTCGTCATACCTAGTCACTACCATTCGCATTACGAACTTCGAACTTCCTCAACTTTTACACCATTACCTCCATCATGACTGTTCTCACCCAGTTTACGGTATTTCCCAAGCTTTCTGAAGAACTGAAGGCTATGATCTGGGATTTGGTTTCGCAACAACCTAGTCAAATCCGATTTGAACACTACATCGTTCGTAAGACAAAATTTTCCAAGATCAAAGACAAGGAGCTTGTCTCTGAAAGGGATAAGATTCTTTCTGGCAAACATCCTGATTATCCCCGCCCTTGGAGGCTGAAGGCTGAAGGCAGAGTACCTTCTGTGCTTATAACTTGCCGGGAATCTCGCTATTGGGCAATGAAGCATTATCATTTGGAGTTCAAGGATCAACTGTATAGCAAGGCTCTATGGTTCAACCCTAAAGTTGATATTATAACTTTCGATACGATTAGTACCTTACTTGTATTTATTAAGGGAGGTTGCACCCTCTTCGGGCGAAGTTTGTCTTTCAAAGACAGCACTAAAATGCCTGTCGTGGAGAGAATAGCTTTGCTTTATTCTATTGCACCATATTCGTATGATGTTGCCATGGAGACTACAAAGAATTTCCCTCAATTGAAGTCGCTCGTTATGAGAACCGATGGCATTCGTTCCGATGCCGTTTTGTGCGACAGTGATAGATGGTTACCTGGTCCAAGAATCAGTTTGCCTTCTCTTAGAGTCCGAATGAATCAACTATGGCATTCTGATGAGTGGAAGGCGATCAGAGCTTACAGTCAAATTCCAGAATTGCGAATTTTGACGGCAGATGAGATGTGGAATACTGTAAGTCTGACGGAACACTTTTTATATGGATGACATCCACTAACATTTCCTAGGGTTTAACACAGCCATTTGGTCCTTCCAATAAACCACCCAAGCGTCGACGAAGAAATCTCAAGGCAGATCCAAATCAAATGCCACCAGTTCGTCGATCAAATCGAATCAAGTCTATGGAGACAAAACAATACCTCGAAGACTAGATGAATGCAAAGAAAATGATCTCATTCAAGACCCTACTTTACAAAGAGACAGTAGACTTTGGGTTCCGCGTTTCGTCGTACAATCACCACTCTACTCGAAGTGTCTCCGAGCGACCTGTTATTTTGAGGGTTTTTTTCTTCAATAACATGGCTGGATCAACTGCTACCTCTGAATGAAAGTTCGCTTTGCTTATCTAGCCGCTTTATTCAATAATTAAGCATCATCCATTTCCTGCTCCTTCATCGCACAGCTGCATACATAACAATTCGAAACACCCCATTGATTTTCCTACTCGCAAATACAAAGAACCCAGCACTTGCGTGGCCTCAAGCCTTTCCAGACTGCTTTTCTACGACATTCTTCTTGCACCACTTGTAGCTGCTCAAAAGCTCATCTTGCTTCAGCCGTGTCCTCCACATAACAACAAATCTCGACAGCTCCTCTGCACTATAGCTTTTCCTTATTACGGATCGAGAATCAGCTCTGTCGACGTAATTCACACATTGACGATTGTCGCCGGTGAAGGCAGCATGGAAACTTGTACAACGTGGATTACTGGCTGGTTGGGGATTTCTCATTTCAGAAAGTGGCAGGATATGCAACCGCTGGGTGATTTATTGACAACACGTTTAGTCAGGATGGCTGGTGTTTGACAGAATCCTAGTTGTTATCTTATTTGTGGTTGTTTTATCTCCTGGAACAGGATCCGCTGGGACCCTGAGCTGAGGAACATCTTCTCAATACGATATAATCTGGGCACAGAAAGAAACATGCCATAAGCACCTAGGTAGTTGAATTAAACTTTCTCAAGAACTGAATTCAAATTTCATCCGTTAACTAAGTTTCTTCTTGAAGAATATGTAATTGTCATGGAATAATAATACGGTATCAGTGCCGTGCATTCATTATGAATTGTTGACTCCAACTCCTGTAGGTAAACTGTGAGATATACTCCAATACCTAGCTAATAGTACAAGGCTCCGTTCTTTCTCGTATTATAAGACTGGAAACAGTATTTCCCGTCTCTGTTGTGCTCCATCAAAACACCAAAGATCCCAGACCCCTCACATACACCCATTAGTGTTTTCCATTCTGCGAGACTCATCATATACATGCTCATGCCCGAACCCATAAAATTTGACGCCTTTTCCACAGCCAAGACTTCTTTGTAACCGCACATTGTCATGAAGTAATCCTCAAGCCATTGCCTGCACTCTTTATTCATCCATTCTGTTTCTGGGATGTCCTGGAAGCATTTTCGAGGAACTAGTATTTCATGTTAGCAAACTGACGGGTTTCGCAAATCTTGGGATGACAGTGAAGATGTACCTTTTGGTGCAGATCCACAACTTGGTAGAGGTGACTCAGATGAGTTGCTATCCATGCTGGTATTCATGTTTGAGAAATCGAAGATGGGCTTTGCACCGCTTGTTTGCGAGCTCGTGGGTGCCGTGGAGCGGTATGGGGGAGGACACGTAAGGTCGTCGTCTGAGTCTTTGCGAGATGAAAATAGCTTGAATGGACGGCGATTACCAGACATTGTGAAGAAATGTTTTTGTATTTTTACGAATAGCAATCGAACAGCTGCTTTATATTTCACAGAAGAATGAGTAGACAAAGCCAGTGCAAGAGGAAAGAAATCATATGGTACGTAAGTGGGAAAGCAGACTCTTAAATGAAATGATATATAATCTAGTTCTAAACTAACCCGAAGCCAAGGTCATAGATTCACAGTGTCTTCCAAAATAGTGGTAGTACATAACATGATTGACATACATAGTACACAACGTTCGGGTAACTTGTTCTTATCTTCAATTTTTGTGTATGTTTTAGGTAGGCACTATAACTTCCTAATACTGTTCCTAACACTGTTCAATTCTACACCAGTACTAAGCATGAAGACGATGAGTTAGGCGTGTAGACTAGAAGAACGCCAGTCCCAAACCTTAAATTGGCATCGCTCGGCAAGTTTTTGGTTCAAAATTCATGCTGACCTGGCATACCCGAGTCACCAAAAGACTCAGATGCGTTTCCTTCTTCGACAATAACGGCTGAGGAGACACTTCTATTGTTATGTGTGGTATTATCGCGCGGCATAGGTATTTTGATTTCTCACTCAATACACCTGATGGAGCCGAGATCTTCACGTGATAGCCTTACCCAAGATCGTCCGACCAACGTTTTCGTTAGCTTCTTGTACCAACGTTAATACCCCACGAACCAGGACTTGGCATTTCGTAGTGATTAAGCTAAGGTCTTTCCTTGGATCATTGATATGCAAGAATCGTGTGCTAATTTGGTGTATATGAAGTACCTCTCGAGTTTCGACAAAAATCACCTGGAACCTAGATATGTCGCCAATTTCATGGTAATGGGAACACACAATTGTCAGAAAATCTTACAAATAAAAGCTGATCCTATATTACATAATTCTTGAACCAAAAGAACATCAATGGCCCATATATAAGAACCATAACCCAGAATATCCATTCATAAACACGACCATCTATTTCCAAGGCTGTCTATGGGTAAAGCAGAATTCCACCAGCGACGCAAGCAAGCTACATTGTTTCTTTGTCTATGCTGATTCCAAAGCTTTCTTGGAAAGTTTCTTGGTGTTGTATGTAGATCCGACTTCAAAAATTGAGTCAAAAAAAGAAAGTGTCGCGTTGGCACTACTCCTAATCATTGTTAGTAAGTTGTGGATCCAAGATGTTGGAAGTAGAGGATTCTTCACTTACATTGATCGCTGCTCACCTTGTTCCACGGCTTCTAGAATATCATCAAACTTGACAATACGGACTTCAGGGGATCCTGGAGTGGCAATCCCTTGCCTGATACGGTCAGCTTTGGCGTCGTAAGAGAGCCTCTTCACCTCCTTGTCAGACCATATCTCCTTGAATGTACCCCACCAAGTTGGCGATCTTTCTGCAATGACTACACGCTTGATACCATCCCAAATAGCCAATATCTCAGTCAGAACATCTTCCTCGCTCTCGCCACTACCCCAACCGGCAATCATCGAAAACACATTTTCGACTTTTTGGATCTCTTCAGAGATGACATGGTCTTCTCCCGATAGAATTTCGAAATGCTCACATGTGCTACTACCAACAAGACTTACATAGTCTTGCTGATAATTGAAATAGATAGGATTGCGAAGGATGCCTTTGAATATGACCGTGTATTTTTTAAGTGCTTCTTTTCTAGAGTCGCGACAAACGTGCAGAACTACCGGCATGATATAATCACCCCGGAACCCTTCCTCTCCTGATCCATCTTCGGCGCAAGGTTTAATACGCACAATCTGTCGATCATCCGCGGCCGCAGCCCAGATCATAAGCTGAAGTTCCGCCGGTAATCTGGGAAAGAGACAAAATGAACGCCGGGATTTGAAATAAGGATCCAAATTGTGGTCGACGCCGATGATGAGAGGATTGGGAGGTTCGAATAGCTGCAGTTGACGAAAACTAGTCTCCATACGGAGAAGATCGAAGGTTTGTGGATGCATCTCTTCAATGTTTTGTAATTTTTCTGCGAGGAGTTGTTAGTTCGAAGAGAATGCGCAAGTGTTTATGGGAAATTCACGCGTCTTTGTACTTACTTTGGTACGGCAGTAGAGGGCAACAAAGTGAGTAGTAGACACCAATCTAATTTGCTTGCCACCGCCGTATTGACAGAAAAACTGTTCTTCTGGGATATGTCCTTCTCTTGTACAAGTATATTTTGTTATGAAATTCTATGATTTCTCAAGTAAACAAGAGACTAGTTGTTTGATCTGTAACCGAGGTTTCACCGATTTATAAATACAAGAGATCAAAGTGAATACACAAATTGATAAACACAAAGATCCAACCTTGGAAGTGATAAAAGTATCAGAAAATAAGCGCCTCAGAGCAGGGATTAAAAACTTGGTTTCAAAGAGCTCTCAAAAGTCAAAGAATTTCAGAGCCTTAGCTTTACTGGAAAACATCGACGGTTATTCTCAATTCGAAAACGACAACACACACACATTATACAGCTAGCTTCATTACAAACCAAACAAGCCATGGCAGTCACTACATTGGAGAAATTCACATGCTTTCCCAAACTACCTCCCGAGCTCCAGTTGATCGTTTGGTCCTTTTGTCCCTATGTCGACAAACAGGTAATTAATATCGCAGATGAATCGGATGTAGTTTTGGGTATAGGTTCATATAGCGGCATCGATAGAAGAGTAACTAGACCGAATCCACTTGCAGTGGACTTCCCAGAGGCAAATTTTATCAATGTCCAGTACAAAGTTCCCTTACCTTTGCAAATCTGCCAACAGTCCAGAAACGTGGCTCTTCAGCATTACCGACGAGTTGCTACTACATATGGCGACACCAAGTACGGATCACCTTTCTACATTAACTCCCATCGGGATTCTATTATTTTTGAGGACATAATAGCCGTTACGCCACCTCCTCAACTTCCAACTAATTCTTTTTGGAGGTATAACGGAAAAACTCTTTCAACTCCCGATGGTGGAAATCTCTGCACTTCAGTGGCCACTTGTTGGGCTACGATCGAGCCTCCAACTATAGATCATCTTCTGTATACGCTGTCCAAATTCCCAGATGTTAAACATTTATACTTTCTTGATTGCCCTTCTGGACCCTTCCCTGTGTCACATATGTCAAACTATAACATACAGTGGATGGGCAGGGATAGAATGGAGGAGCTCGCCAATGGATACATAGATTTGCTATTGAAGTTGACGGTAGGTGGAACGTGTAATTGTTCACCAGACTCAACAGACATAAAGGAACGCAAGGGTATCTTCCGGAGCACTTGGAAGTTGCCACTAATAAGCTGCATTACCATCGAAGAATGGTGTCTCCAGAAAAACGGAGGCTAAATGATTGAAGGTGGGTTGAATCAGCGTGATGAACTTGAATCACATTCCCACAAGACCAAACCCGAACTGACTATATCTAGTAGGAAGACCCTTCGCCAAAAGTTAAAAACGTGATGGGTCGAGAAGCAGGAGCATATTGACTACCTCGCTCCGAACATGGAATACGCATTTCTATGCAATCACGGCGTTGGTTGTTTTTCAGGGTTCATCTTTTTCTTATTTTTTTCTTTTCAGGAAAGGACTTGAACAGGAAGGGTTCAAAAGACCTTGTTTTCAACAATGGTATGGTGGGCCAAATCTAGTGGGAGGGACCACACGCAAGGAGTGTGGCAGGCAAGTCATAGCAAGCAAATATTTCGGGAGTACAATTTGGGAAACAGAGTTGGGTACGTGGATTTGCTGCTTGATACACCTTACCTAGTTACTGAATGGATTCATTATTTGAGAATGTAATTTCCGCAACTGCTTTTATAGAATTGTGAAAAGTGAGACGGACATGTTAATTTTTAAGCGTCTGATACTCTAGACTTCTTTATCGTGACAGAATGTGATGGTCCTATAAAGCAATGATCGTTGAAGACAATTGTTTCAACAACTGACTATTAACCATCGTAGGTATCTGAAATGGTAGTACAGCACTGTCAAATAACAAATAAGAATTTATACACTCTCCTACGGCAAGTAGCAATGATACCGTGACTTCATCCAACAACTCACTTACTCAAAAGATTGAAACATGCAGCTGACTCATGGTCTCATTTCCTTGGACATCATTCCAAAAAATAATTTTCTGACTTACCATGCACATCGCTACTGCAATAATGCCTCGAATGAAAGTCATATACTTGATAAGACCATCAGAGATAAGTGTAGATTAGAACAGTAAGATGAAGCACGTAGCCAACATTGCGTTTCCTCCCTCGAATGAATTTAGTCCCCAGGATGTCGCTGCGTTGAGACTTGCTATTGTTTTTACGAAATGATGAATAGCAGTGCAGGTGAGATTACAGGACGCAGTTGGAGCTGTGGGGCCAGAAGCAAGGTCAGAAGCTGAGAAGGCTAGCATGGAACGAAGGAGACAATCATGCTGATACGATATTAGTGATCCAACCAAAAAGCTATGGCTAAAGAAGTTGCTCACGTTTGATCCGATGCTTGGTATCTCATGAGTACGCACGGAGTCATTCCCAATTGTATGTGGGGGTATGCTTCCTGAATGAAGTGGTGGGAAAGCCGAAATTCTACCATGCTAAAACTAGACTCGCAATTTGAATAGAGTTAGGTATTTTTAAACCAGGTGACGGTCTATGTATTGAAGTCTCGGAGCATGCTGATTGAATCTCCGGACATTCACAACTAAGCCCTCTGTGGTCGCAATAGTCACAGACTGGGTGGGTTTCTTTGCACTAAAGATGGTATCAGTATAGTAGACTTCGAAAGAGCTCCAGAGTAATACTTTCATGCGGGTTTTCTTGCAGTTTAGACAGCCTTTTCTAGATTTCTTGTGCCCCTTGCGGGCCTTCCTCTCGGTGCTGACGAGAGTTTCAGACGGAGCTTCCAGAGAAGAGTTCGTAGAATCAAACTTGATTCATTCCTTTAACTCTCCATGCTCAGGCACTCAGCATGTGATGCTCACAGATATCTTGATGTTGCACTTATCTGGACTTGCAATGATAAAAGGATAAGGGGGCAACGAGACTCTGAAAACCACTGGAACTCGTGTAGCCTTGAATTGGGCTCTATATAAACATTAAAGTCTTTTGCTTCTCCATATCATTCTACTTGTATACAGATTTTAGCCCTAGTGATAGATTATGCTGCCTGAAATAAGACGTGTCAGCCGGTGAGATGTTGTGGCTGCTTTGGCTTATTTAGCGAGAACCACTCGAATAGGGGAATTATGACAAGGTTATTCCTTGCATCACATTTTCAAGCGACGCTAGTCTTCCAAGTCCACAACATCAAGGTCTAGATCCGTTGACATCGGTGTCGGATGTATATTAGAAAAGATCGAATAAACGGTTTACGAAATCGTAATTCCAGTATCCGCAGCTCCGTTCCAAAATTACAGGATATGATTCTGAAAACCAAAATATGACCACGTGACTTGAGATCCGCACATCAACGCGAACATCACTTCGATTGGACTTTCCCTAGAGATTTCAATTTCAGCGAAACTACATTATACTTATCGGCCAAACAGTTAGCTATGCTTTACAGTAGATCTAATAGCAATCTCTCCAGTGGAGACAATTGTAATTTCGAACTCGTGTTTTCCTTAATGCAGAAGTGTGCACATTCACAGTTGTTGAATCATTAGCGTAATAGTGGCCAAACATCAAATATGCTGCTAGAAAACTCCTAAAATTGGTGTTGACTGTTTTGTTGATTTCACTTGTTTCTGTTTTAGAGGTCATAGATATCTTCTATGATGTTTGCTTCACGAAAGTTTGAGGTCTAGTTGACAACCACGAACAAATCAGTTGAAAATGGCAGATATACACCCCAGTGGTATTTCTTAACCGTAGTTTCCTTTTGATCAACCTTCTTTCTAGGCTTTAATGGCAAGCAAGAAACTACTCGCTTTAGAGCAAAGAGATGAAAGAAGTTGGAACCTTTCTCAAAGGACGTCTCGTCTCATCTCTAAGCAATCATATGGAGAATTATGAAAAGTTACCTTGATCTTGTCTTCTGAGTCTGTCGTATTCACCTCTCAACTAAAGGTTAAGCGTTTGAATCATGAAATATATAGATCTAATCCCTAATTCGATACTTTTAAACTTTCATGCCAAGCATTGTTAATGAATATGTTGTTCTTCAAGTTTGTTTCTTTCTGTGTAAATGAGCAAGATATGGTCCGAGCTCCTGGTCATCTGGGTAATTTATTCACAGCTCAGCCTTTCTGAATCCAACATATTCGAAAGACCGAGGACTTGCACAATCTGAACCATCAAAGTTTTTCTCTCCTAGTGGTCCGGTGCAGCATAAACTCACCTTTTCACACACAAGCATCTGGGCAGGAAACCTGGAAATCAACTCTTCATATATTACGCTTTACAAAATCCTCGAAACTTCGACCTACTACAGCTCCTTCAGAATATTGCAACCTTTCCTTGTACAAGACACAGCTACCAGTCATTTGGTCAACCGCAAGCGTACATAGACAGACCATCACCGTTCTGTATCAACACGATCAAGTTCCTTCAGTGTAGAAAAGATTTACTGGCGTGGTAAATGTGAGTTTCAATCTTACGTCTTGCTCTATTGATGATATCTTTACTTACGTGTTCAGCTGGCAGCATGGATTCACAGCCCCTGCCTTTATCTCCGAAGCAGACTACCCATAAAGGAGGTTCATTGACAATTCAAAGTCTCCCACCGGAGCTAAGTCAAGCGATCTGGAAGTTGTCATTGAGCAACAATCGATTCATAACAATACACTGGGCGTACAAGACGAATGACGATCTGCATAGAAACTCCGTTGCCAATGACTTTCATGCCACCTACGATAAAATCGAGGCCCTAGAAGTTTCTTCGGAGTCGCGCACCCTTGCATTGAAAGATTATAAATTGTGCTTAGGCAAAGATATGCGCCATCCGATTTACATCAACGGTAACACAGATATTCTCAGATTCACGAGTTTGACACTTACACAGATCACCTACGCTTCACACTTCAATGGTGTCTGGGGTATCTTGAGCGTTGAAGCTGCTAACATCAAGCGCATTGCTGTTGAGATGCGAAACGATTCTAATATTTCCGAGGCTCGAAGAACCTTAACTGAAGTAAAGTTGTTGGTTTCTGCCATCATGCTGTTCGCTACCTTGGAAACGATATTCGTGCAGCCATCGTGCGTCATTAGTCCATCTTCTGAGGCAGCCTTCCGCGCACAATTTGAGAAAAAAATGCCAAGAAACTTTAGCTTGTACAAACCCTCTGGGGGTGAAAAGCGCTATAATGTTCCTGAAATTGTGATCGTTTGCCCCCAGTGCGATCCAGATTTCCTCAAGGCATGTCAATGTTAAGAGTCTATGGCGTAGATAGCTATCGTGCGAGGAGTAGGGGCAAGACTTTGAGGGGACTCATGAGAAGATATTTGGTATTTCAGGTAAAACGTCTATTTGGGGAATGGGGTTGATTTTGATGGGCCAAGCTGCACTACTGTAGTCCACCATTATACGATGCATTCATCAGATATGTAAGTTCAGCGTTTTAGAATTGAACCATAGTACTACAGCAATAGAATCTTGATTCACTCCAATATTACTGCTTCTTGTATTCTTGCCGTGCCAATTTCTACAAATATATCTATATAATAATCAAAGTAACTCTGCAGCTGTTGTTCCTATTCCAAACCATTCCCAAACATTCAGAATAACAATAATACTTCATGATGTCTTCTGAACAACAATCACAATCCGAATCATCGAATCCCTCCAACACTGACAGCACTGGAAACTTCGCAAATCTTCCTCGTGAGCTTGATGATATGATATGGTCTCAAGTTCCAGTAATCTCAGGCCCACGCTTGATCAAAATTCGTGCCGATCCCGATGTTCAGAGTGGCGAGAAACAATTTTAAATGAAAATCAAATTATCTGGAAACCCCAAACGCCTGATTTTGAACGCAAGAGCCGTAATTCTTTCCCACCACAGACACATGTTCGATCATAAGATCACAAATCCTCAGATTGTGAACACCGCGAAGGACACCTTTATGTTCAATGGGATCAGTCGGTTAAATGAGTATGTTCAGCATACGGGAGCTATTATCACCAAAACTGGTGCAGTGTACTCGGAGCCTGCGTGCTATCCAACAATGCAGAACCTAGTAGTCAGACTATTCCTAGATATTGGAAACCCGGGCTCAGAACCATATTCTGTCTGGCTCAACCGTCTTCGCGAGGAAATTGATTTCGACAAGTTTATCTTGGAGAAAATTCTACGCGAGCTTCTAGAGTCTGTCAGTAAGGTACAGAGTCTCAAAAAGATATATCTCCTGACTGAAGAGGAGCAGATGCCGGGACCCAGACTTGTTGAGCGGATTGATGGTAGGCTCATGGATCTTTTTGCAGAAGACGATGAGTTGCAAAGACGCTATGGGGAGGGTCTAAGAATGCCAGAAGTTGTGTGCCTAACGAAGATGGAATTTCCAGTGGAGTTGGTGAGAGTAGCTCGCAGATACGCTAGACCATGATGGTTTCCTAAATGCACTCGGAAAACATAATGTAGCATTAGAAGCCTGGGGCTTTCGGATCGAGCCTGTATCTGATATTATCGTCGGGAGATAGAGTGCCAACAGTACATAGCAATTAGACAGACTCCAAACTAATGGTATGATATTACTTTTTTTAACTCAAGTGAATTCGGTACATCAAGCAATAGAACCATTAGATCTCGGTGAAAAACTTATGAACCACGTGGCGTGACTTTTGACTCGTGCCTCATCTCACCTGCCACTTATCATCTTCCAGCGAAGCTACGCATATATAAATGACCAATATTTTCTCTCAGATGCATTATACCTAAGGCTCTCAAATAACCAAGAAGATTCTGCAAATGGCGACTCCAATCTTAGGTCAAAATGGAGGCCCAAATCCCGTCGAAATAACAGCAGCGCTGGACCCGAAATTCTGGAGCCTCAAGAATACTGGGACAAACGACAAGTTCCCTCCACAACTCATCGAGATCAAAAAGTACGATTTCACATTTGAAGTACTTGCAAGTAAACAATCAAGAGAGAATATTAATCGCAGGCCCTGGATCGTTAACTTCGAGGTCAAATCAATTCGGAAATCACAAAAATTCACAAACCTGGTCAACTTCACCCCTCGTGCTTTGCATCTCTCACCAAATTGTTTCAAACTCGACTATAAGATCAAGAATCCAATGTTATTTCGTCCTTCTTGCGACGTTCTCTTCTTTCAGGAGCTTGCTCACTTGAGGGAGTATGCTGTAGCAACGAAAGGCATTGTTACCAATCATACTGCGTCGGGCCCGGTGACAAATGAGACTTTTCCAAAAATCGAAAGAGTGGTGGTTAAATTTGGAGGCCAGACATCAATAAGTCGTGATTTTCGCGACATTTTGGTGGAGCTTCTTCCAATAATCAAAGAAGTCGGAACACTGAAGGGAGTCATATTGTTGGTGGGACAAAAATCTCTTGAAAGAGGTGAAGTAGGGATCTTGCGGATCGATGAAGACTTAAAAAAGCTTGTTGATGAAAGCTCTGATGTGTATCCACCCCCAGTAGGTGTTTTTATGCCCAGGGTAACTTGCATGGCAATGGAAACTTTTGAATCGACATTTGGCTGGTATGGATTAGATCAAACGGACGGGTGAATGGTGCTTATACCTGCACTTGGTTCAAGACTTTGAACGCTTTCGAGCACCAGAATGGGTAGTGGTTCCTTCTGAATAGAGGCTGGGCAAGATTTACAGCCAGAGGGTGATGTAATGAGACTAGAAGTAAGAAATGATACGATGGTTCCCCTATAAGAAAGGATTTGGACTATAAATTCTTTGATTTGCAAATGCCCTATAACCTTATCCTGCGACTTTCCGATCTTGAAGCTCCTTCGCAGTATCGTGTGCAAACTCTGTAATAGGCGATGAGGCAAGGGATGACTCTCGAATCGAATGAATCGAATGCCCATAACAAATTGAATCTTTTCAATGACCCGGCAGACCTATCAGAACTAAGTCTGTAGTTACTAGCTTCCGGGCGATGCCAAGATGTGTGTCTCATTTATGTTGTGCCGGTTCGATGAGATGGAAGCTTCCAAATACATCGAGTTCCCTATATATTTGATTCTTTTCTTCCTTCACACACTCTCTCCATAGCAAGTTGGGTTTCTTATATGTTTTCCTAACCTATCGTACAGTATTCCAAAGAAAAAAACGGCGGACTGCAGGGTAATAATGGGGTGGGCTAGATCCACGCTGACAAAATCTCCACGGATTTGCCCTTTCGAGCTGCAAGATTGTTATTTGTCGTCCGCAGCAGTTGCTATCGATTTTATGGTAAGTTTCATCTCTTCAAATCACCAAACTTTCTCGGGAATTTTATATTGTTTCCAATATCAAAAGGCAATTGAGCTTTAGTACTCGTCATTGAACAGCTTCGCTGACTAAGCCGGAAGAAATCCCCACCACCCTCCAACCTATTGCTAAGCCACTATTGTTCAGTCTTGGTTTCAAGCAAGAAGTACTTATTACCATCAAGCGCATCCGGCCTGTATCAAGTCAACTTTCGAGAATATACTTTTATCTCTTGGGAGCTCTACGCCCAAGGAAATCAAACACAACGAGAACCATCGCCTTATAACAACTCCGAGAGTTTGAAAATCTAAGAAATCATGTCTGAATTGGAAGCAACGTCTACAAGCTTCATGAAAGTGCCAGAGATGCGACTTGCAATCTGGGAAGCCTTAGTCCCACCGCCCCGACGAATATACATGCAAAAATCCGGCTTCTCTCTTTCGGATAATAGATACTGGGTGGCAAAAGTCGAGTCTGATTCCGGGTCTCTCACAATTCCAAATCCGTCTATCCTAGGAATATGCGCTGAATCCCGAGATTATTTCATTCGCGAGAAAGGATACACTCTGCTTAGCTCTTGTCTCATAAGCCCAATATACGTAAATTACTCAAGAGATCAACTTTGGTTTGATTCTTTATCTCGCCTTTGGAGTTACGCCAGGAACGTTTCTTATCGACGTCGCCTGGAAAGACGCAGCGGCCAAATGAACGAGGAAGTTTTGCAATTGTCTAGGATTAGAAAACTTGGCATAAGTTTGACTGGCAAGGAAAATATGGGGCGGTTCTCTGCCCGTATAATGACTCATATAATCATGAGGCTCTCCGAATTGGAAGAGGTTATCTTTGAGCTTTCAAAAGACGGATTTGACAATTACAAAGCTTATTTAGAAGAAAAACTAAGCGGCTATGAAGAAAGGCTACGGGGTTACAATATCCTCGATCCGAGAGCCCCTCCTAGACGTATTTACATAATGCAGGAAGTTGTAGCTCCTCCTGAAGATATATGAGCGCGGACTTCTTGAATTCACATGGAGCTTTAGAGACGAGAGAGGAGGATGAGAGGGTTCATAGGTGGCGGAAGGCCGCAGAGTGATGGGTGCTCGGAGACATTCAAGGTCTCGTGATAAAATCATATCTTCAACATGTGATCTACGATTGGATAGAATTATACGAACAAGCAGGAGAACTTGATACTACTGAAAAATCCAAAACAATTGATCCAAAACGCATCGGTAACCACCACAGCGAAGCAGTCACTTTGTTTGCCAGCCTTGGACCCGAACTTCACATTGCTATATGCGAGCTAGCAGTGGCGGCTGCAACACCTGCTTTGCCGGAATTGATATATCCCAGTGTTGTAATTAGTATTTTCCGTATTTCAGTTACGCCCCACTTTAGTGGTACGTATTGATATTTATGATAATATTTCAGTAATTATTATTGAATTATATATCACTGAAAGTATTCCATATTTCAATAATATTGAATATCACTAACAATATACCGAAATACGGGAATTTGTATATTTCTATTCAAATATTACATATTTTGAATAATCTCTTTCCTTATTAGGCTTAAAGTCAATCAAAATATACAATATTCAAATCAAAATATATAAATTCCTATATTTTAGTATATCTTCAGTATAGCTCTGTTTATATAATACATACGAACGTGGATATGATTAGCTATTATACATACTAGTGTGCGTATTATACTCTCTATATCAGCCACAGTAATACTATCGTATACTAATTACAACACTGATATATCCATTCCCACATCAACCAGAACACCCAGAGGATTGTTTAGAAAGTGCAAAATGGGCCTACCGTCAATTAACCACAACTCCAAATCTTTTGATGACTCTCGATACTACACGTTTCTCAGGAGTTCCGAGGCGTGGGATGAAAAATTTATGACTTGTTGTATGTTCCAATTATCAGCGCAATGCTATTCCGCCCCTCAGCCGACTTTCTCAGTTTTTGTGATATGCATCGCATGAAATAATACACAGATATGGTCACACTACACAAGTTCCACCAGAGTTCTGTGGTGAAATTCAAGAGAGTTTCTATTGCTGCTTATCCTGTCTGGCCAAAATACCCCTTCCGCTCGAATACCGTTTTTCAGCAAGAGCCCGTACAAGATCCAGCCTGAGAGATATGGAAGCTCATCTTGCTTTTCGAGGATCTCCAACACAATCTTCCACTTTCTGTATATTTGGTTTTACGAAAAGTCACGGAAGGAACGTGGCCCACTCAGACCCCGAGATGAATTTGGATTAACTTTCAGCTGCTCATCTGAGGGGACAACCATATCGTTGATTGCTCTGGCAGTGTACCCAATTTGGTGGGGTGTCACCCTTCGTCCACTTCGCGAAGACTTTGAATACCAACACAGAGCTCATAGTAATTGGGTCGATTATTAATTACACATCCTATACTCTAGCACGATATTTTGCTAGGTAGTTTTCGAAGCTGGAGGGTTTTGTCGGGTTTATATGGGCTAGGCTTCGAGGTTATCTTTGTATCATAGTTCATATTTGATCACGTGCCGACAACTAGTTGAGTGTTAGATGATGCAAATTCGCTGGTTTTTGACATAAATAGATTTTTTATGGGCTAGACTGCTCTTTACTTGTGGTTGAACGTCTTTCTCGTGCTATAGTGGACAAACTTTTTCGAATTGGGCGCTTTTGGGAGTAACACCGTTCAAGGTCCAAGGTAGTCATAGATACTAGTAAACATCGACCCAGCAATGCTGCTACCATTGCAGCCTTGCTTGAAAGTAGGATTGGTGCCAGAGCTTCTATCAAGGAATATAGGCTAGTACGTGATACTTCAGAAGATAGTTGGAGTCAGAGAGTTGAAGAAAGACAAGGGAAGTTGCTTGGGGATGTTTTGGGTACCTCTGTAAGTTGTCGATCGAGGCAATGGAAGAGGCAATGCTCGGGTTATACTTGATGACTGGGGGATGTAGAGCACTTCTACGGCGATTAGCTGAAGATCCCGTGGGATTAAGCTATACCCATACACATCATGACTCGGATCTATCGCAACCACCCGTTTCACCACTACATGGTGCCACGATATAGTTCTAGGTAGTTTTTATGTCTCTGGGGAGTGGGTGATGCATGATTCATCAGTAATTCTACATGACCCAGTGATTTTCTTAGTATCAGCAGCCAAGAATAGAATATTGCTCTTTTCTAAAGAATTTCCTGCGTGATACAGCTTTCCGCCCACCAGCCGTAGCATTTTGTCTCTCAACCAAAGATTAGCCAGAATCTTTAGAAAATTTGCTGCGCTGTATCTGTAGAAAAGCTACTCGTCTATATTGTACTTCGGTATTATTGAACTGAGTCCCTGGAAACTACAGGAAGTGCAGTACATCTTCTGCAGACGACATGAACAGATCCGTATCTAGAACAGTAATTCATTGTGAGGACATTGTAGAATCTGCATGCTTTATGCATAATGCTGAAGAGACTGTGTATGTTGATTTGGATATCCTTCATTTTGTCAAGAGACTATGAGCGACAGATGCAGTATCTTCAGCCTTCGCAGGAGTCTTGTTCAACTTAACACGGGGCTTTTGATAGGTGTAATACTCTCTCCAAGATTTCGAGTTTCAAGAAACGAAAGTTTTGACGAATATACGGTATCGAAAGATTCATCTCTGTAAGCCTAAGACAGTAGGGTTACTAGTCGGCTCCTATTGAACGTCCCCGAGAATCTAGGCTTGAGCTGCCGGGGAAGTTCGGTAGTAGATACCTGGGTACAGTTTATAGTATATGGCCGACAAGATATAGGGTCGTTGGCCACAGAGTTATCGACGCGCATTGAATCGATGCATTTGCGCTAGTGCTTGGAGGTTTCTAGAAAGAACTCTACATTCGGTATTCAATTGTCATTCTATAATAATCTAGATGTGTCACTCATAAGAAGTCTGCTCAAATATACACTGACGTGATATCAGCAGGTATTCATTGATCCAAGGACAACAGAGTGATGGCGACAAAGCTCGTTGTTTAACTAAATTTGCAAATTGCGGTGGGAGAAATCGACGGCAACTTTTTTAACTCGCTGTAGAACAATGAGATGGATTATGTGCGGGCAGTAATAGTGTACCAGACCCAGGATGCGCCAATCGGGTTCGAATGATTTCGCGTGGGTAGTCTTGCAATAAACGACGATGGATTCCTGAAGGATGCTTTCTTAAGAATGAGTGGTATTTTATTGCGACTGATCGTCCGTGTAGGAGAAGCTTTGGGTGAAGTACGGTGTTTCTCCCGTGAAAATAAATAGTCGTTTTCATCGATAACTGACAACATTCATTCGGGAGCATCAAGCTGTCCAGAGCCTACATTCTCTTCGAATTCTTGTGGTCCATTGCAGAATCCATTCTGCGTGTCATCCTTCTTTCCAGATCTCTTATCATAACCGACCGTGAGTTCTCCCGAAATTTCCTCTCGTCTGCATTCGCTGGGCCCCTTGAGATTAACTGCTTCTTTTGTGGGAATAACAATCTTGGCACATCGTCTTTGTTTTGAATTTGTAAGGCCGTTACTCGTCTATTTCATCCCTTGAATGTCTGGGTAGCACTCAAGCTTGATACGTGTACCTACGGCTTTAGAGGATGTCCTCGTTGTGTCCTTTAGCATCAGGCGTAGCAATCAAGCGCCCAGCAAAATGTTCGAGTATATTGGGTGTTATACTTTAATATAGCACGCGATACCACCAGCTCGCGACTGTAGGCTCCCATTTAGTGTATCCACGATTCTCCTTGCTATTTCAAACAAGCATCTAGGCGATCATGTGTACATCTTCGAAGGTTTCCCGCATCTAGATCTGAGGTTTCTGCGAAGCTGTAGTATCTATATACAAATGTCAAGAGTCCCATAACTTCGATGTGATAAGGCCTCTATATCCTCTTTTGTGTTGTAGCCATGTGAGCCGATATGATTCGGCACACAAGGAATGATATGAAAGCCCTTTGATATTTCTGTTCATGAATCCTTGTGTAGTTGCAGCCTTGTTTTCGCTCTTATTCTCGTGAATATATCGTGGAGTCTATGGAAGTTCTGTAAATAGAATTGTTAGTGAGTGTCTGAGTATCTTGCAGGAGCACTTACCATGCCTTTCAATTTTCAAGCCCATAGCTTTCTAGAGCGCTTTTTGAGGCCTGGAGAGACATATGCCAAGTGATTCTGTGATAATATAACGCGCTGTATGAGATTTGAGGGCATCTAAAGACTCTTCTGGTAAGTCCTGTTAACAAAAGATGCTTACAAAAAAGCTAATCACGGTGGCATCTTTAAGTCAGGTCAAAAAGAACAAAGATTGATTGAAGCTTAAAGAATATACACTTGCGTATATACATTTACAGTCGAAAGAACACCGAGCGAGCGCCTTTTTTTCTCTTAATCAATCTTAGTCAAGTCAATAATATCTTATAAAGGGAAAAATTTTGACAATGTTTACCTTCAATTAGGTATTAATTGTAAATTCCAGTTGTTTTATTATGTAACAACTCTTGACTCCCTAAGTTGGACATGTTGATTGATCATTTAATTAATTTTTCGCTTCGAAAAAGGGGCAGGAAACATATCCAAACTGAACTACTCCAAACACTATTAAATTTTAAATCCAAATAAGATACATTGCTAGATATTCAATCAATAAATCAAAAATTTCCATTCATAGACAAATGAGTACTAGCGCAATCTGAGTCGATTTCGCTCAGCCCTTGCACACTGTCAATTCTTTAGTCCAGGAAAAATCTTCCACGCCGCCCGCTTTTTATGATAGGGAACAAGCCATCGATTTGAACAAAATTCAAATACATACCACCCGAGTTATTCTCTGCCTTCCATCTTAGCAACGTCTCTTCTATCTTACTGTATCAGATCAACTGTGCTCAGTCCAGATATATTCTTTAGAAACCACTAGCTAAGAAGAATAAGCCATCATGGATAACACCCATCAAGACTCCGTAGGTTTCTATCTCGTTCTTAAACGAATATTCTTTGTTTGTGAGGATATCACTAACAATTTAATGTAGGGATCAAATGCCGGCAGTGTTACTGGTGTGCCCACTACCCAACAAACCAGTCGAGGAACCCAAACAGGCGCTACAATGACAACACAGCCAGGCTCTTTCCAGCTTTTTGGAAATTTGCCGCCCGAATTAAAATTAAAGATTTTGAACATCGCCGCCCGAGAGGTTCCTCGTACCATCGAGATGACACCACAAGGAAACCATCGAGGATACGCACCTGCGCTACTTGGAGTCAGCCATATGGCCCGCGAAGAGGCTTTGAAAGTTTATATTGCCTTGCGACCAAGATCTCTACAGCGTATCTGGTTCAACCCGGACAACGATACCCTCATATTGAATATTGGACTAACGATGTCAACGATTTCTCGAACAGCACCGCCTGTGCTAACGTCAATTGCATTAGCACCAGCTGCGTTAACACCAATCGTATTGCCAGCACCTGAATCGACGCTAATTGCATTACCACTACCTGCAATGTATCCATTTTCATTAGGGGCGCCTGCCCTGGATAGACTTTTCTTTTTCCATATCGTTGAAGCTAGGAACACACCTGAAATCTCGCAATGGATGGCTTCCATGGGAATTAAATCGTTTGTAATTAGGTTAGGATTTTAAACCTGTTTTCGGACAGATATTATGGATACCTCTGATTACATGCTGGAGCTTTGAATACGGAAGACCCCAGCTCTTTTTCGGGGCCTCTCTTGCTGAATGGAGTATTTGAGAAAGCTTGAATCATACGTGAGGGTCTCACTGGCACACTCTCAGAGACCTTTGTTCAACGGTCCACCATTCGGTTTTCGATCTCAATCACCACAATACTTTCAACCCTTCGAACCAAATGCTACTACCTCGTTAATTTCGTCTCAAGCTGGGGAATATGTTTCATTTCCAATCAACCATGGCAGCGCTCTCCTCCTCTCACCAACTCCCAAAAGTTTTTCCAGTCTATGCCATTTGGATTCTCGGAAGCAGCGGGTACTCACTTTGCAAGTTGAGTACTGGCATAACGATTTCGCAATTTCGAAACAACATTGCAAGCAGCGGAAGATATTCAGACAGTATTTCCAAGAAGGGTTATTTGGAGGAAAGCAAGCTGGTGTGACTCTCAACACCACTGGCTTAGTCATTTACTTTTCTTTTATGGATTCAGCTTTCTGGGACATAACATCATAGTCTCTTCGACGACAGGTGCCAGATGTTTCCTTTTCCTTACTTTTTTTATCAATTCTGGGCATTTTTGTTCAGACTTCTCCTTTGTTGTGCGGTTTATGGTGCTAAAGGACGTCAGTCAAATCATCCTGTAACTTTCAAATTACATATGACAAGGCACAGCGATTTAGAATCAATAAGGCTTTAGCGTCTCTCTCTATTATTTGTGTGTACTTCATAGGTCTCAAATAAGATAAAATATCACATGTTTCCAATTGTGCAACGTTAAAAGCGTGGCAGCTACCATTGATTTTGCAGTGTAACGTGAGAACTCAACGCATAAAAGCCTGCACCCTATCAAGACTCTTGTATCGAAAAACAACCCTCTGATTGATGCCACAAAGTCAACTTTTCATGGTGGCTGCATGATGAAGTATGTGTATGAAAAGGCTAAAGATCAGGCTGGGAGCTGCCTTGGGTGTAATCTGGGGCGAAGCATACGGGTGCTGACATGGCATATGTTGCACCAAATATGCACATGTAACAATGCATAAGGCTATGTTTATTAGGCTTCTCAATGAGGTAATTTTAAGCAGGCATAATTAGATGGCATGTGTTAAAATTTGCTAAATGAATATTGAGCCTGAGAGAACAAACTGCGTACAAAATCGTGGATCTTCAAAATCCTTCTCGCTGAGCAAGTTGGGCAGCTTATAGCAATAAAATTTCTTGATCGTTAGAAGTATATGCATGTAGTTCGAATCGATGTCTGGTATCCCTGGAAATTTGAATACCTCTCGATTATGAAAATATGCCCAATGAATACACGAAGAGAAAAATCTGTTGGCGTTTTGCCTGAGATTGATATCTCCCCCCTCTCAAAGCTGGGGCCTCCATTCCCCTCCAGTCCTTTCCATATCCATGGAAATCGCGAAATCCGCAGCTCGAAATGACTTGAACTAGATCTTTTGTAAAGACTCTCTTGTAGTTTCAGAGCTCTCGCTATGACTGAGATCGAACTGGTAGTATATGTGTTTCATGCCGGAAAGTTGGCTGATCACCACCGCACAGGCTGCCAACCATGTTCATTGCCCAGTCCCTCGCGCCATACAAGTAATCTGTTGGTAGGTTCTGTATGCCAAAATTAAGACCGAGTCCACAGTCCAGGATTGTCGGAATCCATTGAGGAAGAAGAGTTGAAGATATCTGAAGAATCGACGAGAAGAAGTAAAACATGAGTATACAGCATCCCAGATGCCAGAGCGTGCTCCTGAGGGACTATTAGTAAATCAACTAGTCAATGAAGAAGCTGAACTTACTTGGTGATGTCCAAAATCCCCAGGGGATTCATTCCAGTGTTCAAAATAAGACCGATAGGAAGTAAGAGGAGCCAGAGGAGGAAGACGCTGTACTCATGTTAATACCCTGATACGTTCCGCACTCCATAAGTCGGGACTGACCAGACAAACACAAGGCTCCATCCGCCCTCTGATGCCATCATCCCTGTCAAAATTTCGACTGGGGCGAGGAAGCATTCGAAAACGATAATAGCGACTAGAACCCTTCTTCTTCCTGAAGAAAGAGAATGAGTTGAATTCGGACTATCGTGGAAGCACTCGATATTGATACCTACTGAATGGCCTTCGAGTATGTTCTCAAGTTGAGGCAGAGATAATTCGGATGTTATAGCCATCTTTGAAGCTTAGCCTGATAGGAGCGAAATTGCATAGGTGAGACAGAATGCCAATGATCGCAGAACATTCGTCTAAATTACGTATGATACGGGGGTTGATAATTTATGTTTCGTAAACAGCAACTATGTGAATAGGAAGGTGGGAAGTTCAAGGTACATGACAGGTCAACTACCTAGTAATATATATAGATGTGAGTGTATGTAGTTTATAGCGTCAATATTTGAGTGAAATCTGATATCTTCAGTGCATAATTTCAGATGGCGATTTCGTTCATGGGGAGCCACTCATCGCATCTATTGGGCAAAAGAATGCCTTATTGCTAAAATCGTCCACACAATGATGCTGAATGACCGGGGCTTAAATCAATGTGTCATGACTGCTCCTCCTCCCACTGCATTAGTCTGAAAGATTAAACACAAAGCTTTCCTGGATACCAAGAGGCGCCAGATCTTAAGTCGTGAAGCGTCTCCCCTTGAAAGATTCCTAGTTTCGAGGCTTAGTGGTCCGTAAGGCTTCTGTCGGGTCTCACTACATAATACATGCTGTGTAAGTTCATTTTTGTTCGAGCACAGCGCCTTTGTATGGGGCACCGATCCAACACTTACACAAAAAGTATTGATCTCGCAGATTGTGCAGCCTTCTCGATTCATTCATATATGAGCACGACACCCCATGAGAAAGCATGTACTCAAGCAATCAGTGGGAACACAGAAACCAACTTCGATTTACAAGCGATATCATTGAAACCGAAACGAGCAGTATTCCGTAAGGTCCAATGATCATTGATGCTGAGTAATGTTGTTAACTATGTGGTAGTGGCAGATCAAGAACCTCACCCATGGGAAAATCAGAATATATGCTGAAGATGGAGAATGAGAAGCCCATGCACCAATGTGGTGGCTTCCATTTGTGTCAATCTTTACCCCTAAATGCATCCATCTTCACTGGGAAATGGGCTTTCAGATCCAAGGCTCTATCAACCGACATTAATTCAATCAGTCATAAAATGGAACCCCGGATTCAAGAATCCCATTCCTCAATTTTGACCATTGTGCCCCGCCGGCCATCATGCCATTCTCTCTTCCTCTTAACTCTCGTACTCCTAAACATCAGCTCTTCACTTCTCATGGGCGCAACCTTCATCTGCCTGAATTATAGCAGAAGTCTAGAGACATCCAGCTCCACTATGTCCACAGTAAGTCTTTCCCAGACCTTCACCAAAGCGTGAATCTAACAATTGCAGATCACCGCTCCCATTCTGAACTCCTTAGACCTTCAATTCAAGTCGTCACATGACGTCATCACATTCTGCAGCTTCGTCCTCGCAACAGGTGTCTTCACACTAACAATATTTTTATGGGTGTCACATGGGCCCGACTCTTCATGTCCCTCGTGGCTTTTGATAGTTCAAGCCTATGGATATTGGATAGGTTTTAATCCGGTGGAGTTGGTGCTATGTATCTTCCCCTTGAGTGTTAGCGTTTGGATGATGCTCAATTGGGCAGTGGACCTTCTCCAAAACCGAAGAGACGTACAATATCTTCAACAGGTAGATTGTAACGATAATGCAGTGTAATTGGTTTGAGTTATTGTGGGTTTGATTTTTTGGAAACAAGGGCAAGTCTCCGGGAGAGGTTATGCTCGTGAAGTATGGGAACGCTCGCGGGACCAAACGGCGTGTTTGGCAAGTCTTCATGAATATATGTTATGTAGAAATGCAACTCAAGAAACTGTTTCGGAAAGGTATGCCTTTTGAATTTTGAGTATGAAATTTTGCTTGGATGTATCCTTCTGATTTCCCTGATCCGTTTCCCCGACATCAAAAGTTTGAACGTGTGAATGAAAATCAGTAGTTGGGTTCCCGAACATGATTTGAACCCGAAAAGTCTTCATGATTGCTAAACAAAAAATCTTCTTCCAAAAAGTGACCAATATAATTTACTCGGTCGACTTTCGTAAAATGACCTCAAGTTCATCCCACCTACCAGCTCTCATAGGGTCAAGCTTTCTCAATTCCGAAAGCCAAGCTTTACAATCTTGTACTTCATCATGTTCAGGCAGGCGCATTTCCATTTCACATACAGCAAGTGTGTACTCAAACAAAGCATCAAAAACCCACTTACAGTCCTCACCTCCATCAAGAAAGTCCCTCAGATTGATAAGTTGCTGCTTGATATATTCTATACGATCTTCTCGAGAAAAGTTTGGAGTTATGGTTGCATGACCGACAGACTCAGTGAGAGTTGACATGAGAAATTGATGATAGAACCATACAGACTGATCATACGGATACGCATCATTCCACATAGCTTTAGTAATAAGATCAAACTCTGAAGAAATGTTAGCATAACTTGTAACGCAATATGTTGGACTTAAGTGTACCCTCATCTAGAAACTGCCGCCTCTCAGTTGCAGTCGCTTGCCGCTCTTCGAGCAGTCTTGGTATTAGTTTACTTCGGTTGTGCCAAGCCGAGAAGTTTTTCAACTCCGCATTGATCATTCTTGTAGTATATGCAAACTCCGATTCGACCATGCTTGAGCCATTCAATTTGGGATCTTCCAGTTGTGAAACAACGGTACGTCGGTATCCCCAGCCATGGAAGTTTCGACTGTCTCTTGTCAACATCTTCCCCACTAAAACAAGTTCGCGCTGCCACAATCCTCTCGCAATATCGGCAGCCAATCTGTCATTTGCTTCTTTTAATAACCACAATCGATAGTTCCATATCCAATAGCATTTTGGCCAGCCCAACATCAACGGAAATATAAAATCTAAGTCTGCCTGTATCAAATCAAGAATCGTAGAATTCTTCCCAGGATTCAGGGGGTGCGGGTCTGCCCGGATCTTGGTCAAGTCCTCGGAAGACGCAGAGGTAGAGGAGGATGAGGTTACGCCAGACGTCGAGTTCTCGGACAGCCCAGAAGAAGGCAATTGGGTATCCGATTCCAATGATGACTCCGATGATTTCGAGAATAATCCATGAATTAGCAAACGCCTGCGGATGTTCCATATCGTATAGTATTCGGGATTCTTTGATAGTAGTTTGGAAGTTAAGTCGAGTACCTCACGGGTATATTGGCGCTCTGCAACCTGTCTAAACATTAGAAAGACCATCAATCGACTAAACATTGACTTACTTTGAGCTGAATCAGTTCTACCAAAGCTTTGTATTCTTCAATATCCTTTTGTTCCTTCAGCTGCGCCGTTATTGATTTTTGTTCAGTCGTCGCAATTCGTGGCATTCCATGCTATAAATTGAATCAGTCTCAAGTTACCACGAAGTCTGAAGAGACGTACGCTTGCCATCTTGAGAACCTCTCCTTCTATTATTGGAGGCGACAGACTGGCTGAATGAGAGTTGGCGGGGTGGCTGGCAGTTCAGCCTTGTGAGATAGATACCTAGTAGCTCTTGGAAAATGCGACTCATGAATTTGGAGAGTGGGGCTGGAGCTTTGTCATGTAAGCTCCGATGGACTATGGGTCGGGACAACATCGGCTCGAGATCGGTTCACGTTGTTAGTACTTGCTTCCGATAACATCAATCAATGTCTCTCGTCCCATCTCTCCTTTCATTTTCTCCTAATTCTCCTCTCTTCATATGTCCAACAACGGGACCAGAAGGATTACCAACATTCTTACAGTATTACTAACTTCAGCAGTACAGCAGTACATTATCGGTAATGCCTGATTTGAATGTTTCTTAAGGTTATTTTATTTGTGCGATTGTCTCACTATAGGCTTCGCCGGTGCCCTTATCCGGTCGACATTCTTTAGCCATCGTCAGGAAGAAGCCATAGGATAGCTTCAAGGGAATTTCCCGCTGGACACATACGGACCTACCTATCTCTCCCTCTTCGTTCAGGAAATCAGCGTGAGGTTCAATATTTCTATTTACTTTCCATTGTTCCTTTCACGAGAGAGCGCCGATAAGCCGCTGTTCCTTTGCATCTTATCGTTGTCCTCCTCGATTGTCACTCTTCATAGCCTTGCTATGTCTTCTTTTTATAATGATGGGTGGATCAATAGCTCTCCAAAGATCCTCTATTCTCCGGACGACTCAGGTTATGACAGTTCATCTCCCAGACGAAGGCTAAGTATATTAAGTGGTGAGCGCCGTGTCTACCTTTTGATGCATGCCATTGTCTTATATATATGCAGACACTCATTCGACTCATGACCCTCTCCTGCCAAGGTTCCGAGATGAAAATGGGAAAGAATGGAAAACGAGTCTTTCCATGCGGATCAAAAATGTGATCAATGGAGTTCCTATTGACCAAAATCTGTCAAACATTGCTCCAAATAGTCTTCGGTTTGATGGATCATCAGATAGCCCCAAAATTCCAACTACTTCATCCTCTTCGACAGCACCTCGACCCAATACCAAGTCTAGACCAGCTCTTTCGAACACGCTCCGGGCTCGAACGTCAGTTGACTCGACCCCAACTAGAAAGTCTGCTAGCTCCTTGCATTCTCCAGATCGATTTCTTCCTGTTCTGAAAAGATCTGATTCCGCGACACAAAGCTTTCGTGCTAATAAAGATCCTGGAAGTCTCTCGCCTTATGAAAGATTAATGAGACATAGCAGTGCAAGCCTTGATGCTTTCAACCCACGTCGACGTGCTACATCGCCAATTCCCCTAGCTTCTCGACCTGATTCCAGAAGAATTGTTTCTGCAAATCGCGGCAGAGGTATGGAATAGATCAGGGGTATTAATTGATTTCCATTCTGATTAATTTATAGGTGCTACTGCCCTTATTTTTCAGAGAAGTGCTCCAACAACACCCTTTGGGGAGAGGCAGGTGAGTACAAGCTTCATGTCATATTTCAATGATATATTTCCGTATATTCAGCAAATGGCTACGCAAGACGAGAATTTAAGAAGCGTTGATCTTTTCCCTGCCGTACTGATTACCACAGGTCAGTGTAGGAACCGTATGGGCCGTCGGAGGAGTGGCTCCTGTGAGCGCTGGCATCTCAGACGGGCGTGGCGGTATGCTTGGCAGTGGGACTAATGCACCGTTATATACAACATCCTTCTCCGCTTCACGTCCAAAAGCACAAGAAGACTTTGAAAAGCATGAAGACAGGCTGGCGCAAGCATTAGACATTGACCGTACACAACGCGTTTTTGAATTTCGAGACCCATTAGCCACACCACCCATCACTCCACTTGATTCTAGGTCTAAGAGGCATATCTTTGACACCAAGACTACATGGAATGGAACAGAGTGGGTGCTTGGTGGACCGGAACAAAGTCCGTAATTCTGTTTCATGCTTTTCTTGTGTACAGATTGGGATTCTGATGATCATATAGAGCAACAATTGCCACAAGAACCTCGCACGCTTCCTGTTGCTCCTTTCAAATAAGTTTGTCATTCGCTGCTATATAGCCTTTACTAATCTTCAGCACAGTTTTAGATGCACCAAATTTACGAGATGACTTTTATTGCTCGGTTCTCGCATACTCTGGAACGAGTCATACACTGGCTGTCGGTCTGGGCTCATTGCTTTATGCATGGTCCGAAATGGCAGGAGTTCATTTACTTCATGGCGGAACTTCAAATGCTTCTTGGTTGACATCGCTGGCATTTTCATCTACACAAGGAGCCAAGTCAATACTTGCCTTTGGCAGGTCTGATGGATCTCTGAGTTTGTTGTCACTTTATGACAGTCTATTGCCTAGATTCGAAGTCCAACAGCCCTGTCCTATAGCTTGCGTCACTTGGAGACCTTCGATAACAATGCGACCTTCGCGAAATCCACTTGCCCCGGACATTATGGTGAAGACAGAAGATCTGATTGTCGGAGATGAACAAGGAAATATATATTATTATGTCGTTGAATGGCCTGATGCATGGGAAATAACTCGCGATGGCTGGTCTGGCTCTATGACACTCATTGCCAAGATCTCTATTCACACCCAACAAATATGTGGTCTCTCATTTTCCACAGATGGCTCATCATTCGCAACTGGAGGTAATGATAATCTTTGTTGTCTTTTCCGTACAAATGAAGTCACCCGGCCTTCTCGTGGTCAACTAGGCACCGCAGAAGAAGTGTTTCTTGCCACAGCAGGTATGCGTCGCATACATAGCGTAGCGGGTCAAAGTCGTGTTAAGGAAATCATTTCCGGGGCCGAGAAACATCGTTGGGTTCATGGAGCGGCTGTCAAGGCAATTGCATTTTGCCCTTGGAGAGATGGCCTAATCGCAACCGGCGGTGGAAGTAACGATAAATGCATCCACTTCTTTCACACATCTTCCGGAGCCTGCCTAGCTACTATTAGCGTAGCAGCTCAAGTTACTTCTCTTATTTGGTCCACTACTCGTCGTGAAATCGCAGCCACGTTCGGGTACGCGCAACCTGAACATCCATACCGAATCGCCGTTTTTAGTTGGCCAGACTGTAAGCAAGTAGCTGCTATTCCATGGGAAGGCGAGCATCGAGCACTATTTGCGATTCCATATCCAGGTGGCCCGAATGAAAGCCATAGTAGTAGGGAGGGGGGAAGGGCCTTGACAAGAACGGCCCAAGAGGGTTGCTTGGTCGTGGCTAGTAGTGATGAGAGTGTTAAGTTTCATGAGGTGTGGACAAGTAGTATGAAGGCTACTAGTGGAGGTGAGGGCTTACTAGGTGGAAGTGATATTTTGGAGGGCTTGGAGGGGATTGACAAGGAGGGCGCTGTTATCAGATAAAGTTGTATTATGGCATTGAGGTGGTGAATGGGGGGGGTGAAGATGAGTGTTTAAAGAACGTATAAGGAGATGACGTACATAACAGTCTGTACATCTGTGCGAAAAAAAATTGAAATAAGATAAGGAGAGAAATGAAGAGGGGGGGGGAGTTACTAAATGAAATGAACGCGAAATCGGAGAGATGAAGAGATGTACTACACCTGCTTTTCTTTTGTAAGTTGCAGACACGAGTACATACAAATTTGCTTATTCTTCTGAATCAAAACAAACAAATATTCCTTACCTGAAACTATACTTTTGACTTCGCATGTCTGTCTACATCTTCGATTTTTGATACTTGGATAAGGGGGCTCCGAGCAAGTTCCGAGAAGTATGCTGAGAAAATGTTGAGAAAATGCAAGAAAGATAAATGAGACCGGTCGCCGGGGGAGTAGATTGAGCGTGTACATACATTACAGCCTGATGTAACGAAAGGCCAAGCTCACCGAAAAGCTATAGAGATGAATGGTAATGAGATATTCGTTGGTAATGAGAGAAGAAACATTTTGAATTTTCAAAGGGTTCGATCTGCTTGCTTGCTTAGTTGGAAAGATAGATAGATGGGTGGGATTTATAGGATTTATAGGAGAAGTAAGTACTGGAGATGGATGGTTTAGATGCTGGATATTAATTTGGAATACTGGAATGCTGGGATACTAGAATTCTGGGATTCTTTAGATCTTGATTGGTGGGGATGAGATGGGAGATTCTGGGTAGGTGGGTGGGTGTGTAGGTAGGTACTTGGAAGAGATGAGAAGATGAAGATGAAGATGAGAAGATGGAGATGAAGATGAGAAGATGGAGATGAAGATGAGAAGATGAAAAGGAGTACTGGAGTAGTACTCCTCTGTTTAACTACTTAGCTGCTTATTTACTTAATTATTTATTTATATTATTATAGAAAAGAAGAATTTATATATCAACTACTGAATACTAGATATTAGATGTTAGATACTAGAAACTGAATATAAGATAGATATTAGATATCTACTTCCCGAGGTCTTTACTCTTACCTAGGTAGATATATAAAAGTAGGATTTATAAATCTATAGTAAAGAGAGTGAAGAGAGTGAAGAGAGTGAAGAGAGTGAAGAGAGTGAAGAGAGTGAAGAGAGTGAAGAGAGTGAAGAGAGTGAAGAGAGTGAAGAGAGTGAAGAGAGTGAAGAGAGTGAAGAGAGTGAGAGTGAGAGAAATTAAAAGAATAGAGTAAATGAATAGAAGAAATAAAAAGCAAATGATGAAAACAGAATCGGGATTCACCGGGAGCTGTGGACAGGATAGAGAGAAATTGTCACGTGGATTTTTACACATAATAAGTACAAACATTTGCGCTAGTGTCTTGGGGTTGCAGCGCATAATAGTTTACTCGTAATCGTATTTCTTACATTCTACAGCAGGCCCATTTTCCACTCGCTGTCACATGTCCATACGTTTGTACTCATACAGCACACACCATACACCATGATTTTTTGATGTGTTTGTAGTTTTGTATTTATTGTCTACGGAGGTATGTATCTCAACGCTTCGATCAGTCAATCAGTAAATACCCGTCAGATCGACTTGTGCCCCTTGGGCTTACTTGCTATACCAGATTCCACTATGTTCACTCCTCCACTTCTCCATCGGACTGCTCTACCAACGTACCATGTCTGCGTATTTTGCAGCAAGCGGCACTATCGACCTCTCCATCCCCAATCCCGGCATACAAAGTGCTTAGCAAGCCAGTAAACATTGCTTGATCATCAAGTTGCCTTGGTAAATATGATGATCGAATGTTAAACGCCAAACACCTTGCTCACGTGGAAAAACAACGATGGGTGGTATTTCTTGAAAGGAAGAGAAAAAAATGACGTTAAAAAAGAAGAAAAATAGGGAGAGGCATCCTCCTCGCAGACAGGTATATGCAGAGAGATTTCTCGGATTCTTCTTGTGTTCCGCCACGCCAGACTGGCAAGAAGGATCCTTGATTTGAGATGCTTGTAGACTGTTCTCTCGAGCATCTCCGAGGGATTTTGGAGAAAAATCTCCCAATGGTGGTTTGATCGTTGCTTTGCCCCTCGACGTGCGGCATATCTGTAGAGATGCTATCCCATGTGTCGTGTTTCGTATGCGTAAAGTGGAGATGGTCATTGATAATATTTCTAGGGATTTCTGACACTGGATCGAATCGCGAGGAACAAATGCTCGGTATCATCATTTTGTATCTGGAGGATTGAGTATTTCTCAATCTAAAACGAAGTCGAGATGTGAGTCCTGTAGTACTCCCAGAACTGTTCCTATCTTGTGAAGCTTTTGGAGAGAATTGCCATTCTGGATAAGACTGGCTATATACCCGAAGCTTTTCCTGCGGATTTGGAGAATATTCATACATTAGATAAAGCACATTCAGGTACGTCAATGCCCTTCCAAGATCGCATTAGTTGTTTACAGGAGCAGATGCAGACGAATCTGTGTCCACAACTCCGGCTGCGCTAACATCTGGAGAAGAATCTCCACCAGTGTGGATAGTCTGCGCTTGGGCTTGTGTTTCAATTGCAGCCGTGGGGACTTCTACGACCGGAATGACTTGTGCGGTTGTTTCCTGTCCCTTTGATTCGGCTGCAGTCGGAACACTTTCATTCTGCTTTTTGCTTTCTGGCACTGGTGTTTGACTGGGTTCACTTGATTGACTTTCTGGCTGAGAGATAGCTTTATTTGAGGGTTGAGTCGATTCGGTATCCTTGACAACTTCTTCTTCACGACTTGAATCTTCCGTGGGCTTTAGGGCGAGATTTCCTGTTTCGAGTGTTTCCTTTGGCATTGAGGGTTGAGGAGCGGGAGCTGTTTCTTCGACTACCATCGGTTCTGGTAATGAGGCTGAAACTGGCAAATCATTTTCTCTATTTAGTGGAGCAGTACCGGGATTCACAGCTGGAGCCTGAACACGGCCCCATTCTAAAGTTGGATTGGCATTGTGTCTATTGTCGGAGATAGGTGCGGTTTTCGAAGAATTTTGCGCATTGTCTCCATTTCCTGAGGCGTTTGCTTTAGTAAAGTCCTGCTGTCATCAAGTTAGTCATGAATTCGTATCTGAATTCCAATGATTGAAAGAGCACTACTTACTCCGCGGGCTGGCGAAGAATATGCCGCGCCTGGTGAAATTTCAACTCCTATCGTACCTGCCGATGGTTCGGGAGCTGAATCTTCTCCGATGTTGATGCGCTTTGAAGAACCTCGAGAATTTCCCTTCCACCAACTTCCCATGCCGACACCTCTAATCTCCCCATCACTCAAAACATGCTGTGCATCTCCATCACCTCTTACATTGCTTTCTTCCATTTGTATGTCCTCTCCATTTCCATGGTCCATAGTTCGCTTTCCATTTCCGTTCATGTGTGTTTCCAGCCACAACTCGCGGTCTCGATCAACTTCCTGGTATTCTCGATCCATGTGATGTTTCATCGCAACATTTCCCCGCTCCATCCCATTAACCCCTTCAACCCACCTGATGTTCATGATCAAGTAACTCAGACCGTCGTGAGCACGGGTGTTCTTGCCTCCCCATTCACGACTCTTGATACCATATCGGATCGTGCTAAAGTACTTATCAAGACAACCCAGAACAAGTACTGTGACATGAAGATCGCGATTGTTACGAACTGGCATAGGACCTCTAGCAGGAGGACGGTCAAAAAATTCATCCGGTCCATCAGCCATCGTATCCAGTTCTGGCTCAACAGATATTCCTTCATCTGCTTGATAAAGATCCAAAAGTTTGACATCGATATCGTCGCTCCATTTTCCGCAAATCCAACCTTGATGAATTAATGCCGCAATGATGTCCGAGTCATCCGAATAGACATCAGTACCCCATAGGTTTTTCCGAGCTGTGATTTGTGCTCTGCTTGGCGGCTGAAGATGAACCCGGGAAATCTTAACTGTAAATGTACAATTGATCAGGTTTTCGAAATTCGCGCTGCTCCTGTTAGTACCAGCAAATGCGCGATTGTATGGCACTTCGCCAGTAGAGTTTGATCGGTACAATGAGAGGTTTGCTTGGTAATACTCGCCACCAAGATGGCAACGAGGGTGCTGTGAAGCATCATCAATGATCTCTTGTGAATGAACTCGGTATTTGGGCATATGGAGGTGGTTGTTCATAGGAGGAGGAACTTTTGGTCCTACAGAATTGTGATTTGGTCCTGCGGAATGGTGATGATGGTGATGGTGATGATGAGAATGTGGATTGGAGAGATGATGATGCGGAACAACAGAAGTTTCTCCGTGAGGTGGGGACACATCACCATTGGTTCTTTTGATGCTTTTAAAGGGCGTCACCGATTGAGATGAAGGTGGCGGGATTTGATCCAAAGCACCGGCGACTCGGTGTTGGTGACTAAACAGATTAGACGGATCATTAAAAAAGTGGAATGTGGGAATGTGAACATACGTATGTCGATGTGCAGCATGTTTTGTACGCTTTCCTCTGCCATTGGGAGTTTGTCTTCCAGTACTACTGTCGTCGTCATTTCTATCTTCCTCCTTGAGCTTACGGCGTCTACCAAATGGACGAGGCATTGTAGAGCTACCATTTTCAATGGGCGAATTGTGAGCAGAAGGGGAATCGAGGTCTTCACGGCGTGAGCCAGAGAAAGGCAAACCAGCAGTAGCAGATCCCGCAACAGGACTAGATAAACTCAAAGCCACTCCACTTCCAATGCCAGGAAATATTTTACCAAACTCACTCTTGATACTAGGTTCACCAGCGGGACCAGGTTGCTGTGATTGTGCACCTTGTACAGCTTGAGGAATAGGTGAGACTCGACCTCCTCTACGGTTGTCTTGAACACTTAGAAGCCCTCTTTGGTTTTGATGTTGCTGCATCATTTGAGGAGGTGCTTCTTCGACTAATCTTCTCTGCGGGGAGTCATGCTGCGGGTATTGGGGATTAGGTGGCATTGACCCAGCAAAGGCGGATTGTT